CGTGTTCCGTGATGCGTGCTTTCATCTGCGACTTCTACCCTATTATTTGGAAAAGAAAATGAGGAAATCTTGGTTGTAGCAGGAAGGCAGCGCCAGCATTGCATTCGCTGTCCCTCACCCATTTTGCTGACAAGGCCAGTATATTACAAACTTCTTAAAAACATCATTAGAACAAAGAAGTCAGTGTAAAATGCCTCCTGGGGATTTCAAAAATGGTTTCACACTGCAGCCTTTCTTCAGCCTAGCGAGCCAGTCAAGGAGATGCCCTCAGAAGACGCGGAGGCCCCCAAAGAAAGTTTGATTTTCAGGCCAAAGTTTTTCCTGCCCCCCGTCCCGGGAGGGGCCGAGTCTCGTGGACCCACTCTGAGAAAAGCCTCCTCCGCCACCAGTCAGCTGCGTGCTGCGCCCGCCGACGTGGCAGTTCCCACCAGGCCTTCAGCAGGACAGGCCAACACACAAGGCCGCACCGCTGCATAAAACGCCTTTTTTCATCGAGATCCGTTTCATCCGCAATTCATTCCCAGCACCCCTGGATGGGTCGCAACAGGTTTCTGGGCCTTGGGAAGTCTGCTGTTCCCGCCCGTCCTGAAAAAGGCCACAGAGGCATCTAGCGCCACCCGCCCAGGGTCGTCGCGGGTTACCCAGAGCAGCGCCCGAGCAGGAGGCTTCTCCTCAGGCGGGCGCGGCTGCGAGTGAGACCGGAGAGAAGGACCTGTTATTTTGGGGAAGGGGGAAGCAGAGTTTTCCCCTCTTGACGTGCCCCAGCTGTGCTGGGGGGGGTGTCTCAAGTAACAGGAGTGGAAACTTTAATGAGCAGCGGGTCGGATGACAAGTGACCTGTGAACGTGAGACGGATTTTTATTTCAGGAGATGCTTAGTTCCATTCCCTTCTGTTGGACTCATTCGGTTCGTGTCACTCTCTCAGATGTATGAAAAAGTGCCCCACGGCATTCAGGTGAGCACATCCGAGCTGATGGTGCAGCAGTAGGGCCTGGGAAAGAGATCTGGGCATCGTAGGGGGCTGCAGTCTGAATGCAAGCCAGCTTCGTGCTACAGCTACAGAAGAGACAAGCACCATTTTCAACTGGAGGAGGGTTCTGAGAAACTGGAGCAGGAAACTCAAAAAGGATGACGTGGGTCCTCTACGGGGAAGACTGAAGGAGCCCCAGTGCCCCTCCTGGGGAAGAGGGATGGAGGGAAGGAGGGCAGCCCTGAAAGGATGCCATAGCCAGGGAGGCCAGGGCCAAGGCCTGGCCTTCCCCACTGAAAAGCCCAGGGTAGGCCTCAGACCCCGAGGTGGCGGCGCTCAAGCACTCCGTGGCCTCCCCAGGCCCTTTTCCCCCACGTATCACGGCAGCTCCTGCTGAGGTCGGCCGGGGTCTCATAGTGCTGCGCGCGGGGTCCAGGACAGCTGCGAGGGCTGCCTCTCCCGGCCGCCAAGTGGCGGGCAAAGCGAAACGGCGACCGCCGGAGGGCGAGTGGCGGGCAAAGCGAA